AAACTGCTTGCAAGCCAACTGAATCACGTCATTGTTCATGTAGATGATGCACGTTCTAAACGAATCTAACGGCATTGAAGAAAACGTGATACCCAATAACCTGCCTATTTTGTCGTGAAACGTAAACAATTAGAAGTCCGAATCCGACTATGCTTGGTCATCCTTCGCACTCAGAAAGAGCTGTGAATGACGATACGAGGTGGGTCAACCACCGACTAAAAGTGACACTGGTAAACCGGACGCAATGGGATTATGTGAATAAAGAGTGCGCTATAACACAGCGAAGAAAAATACCACACTTATTGACCGAAAACCCGAATCAATGAAGGTGATGATATAGAACCTGGGGTCGAAACAAAAATGGATCATCAAAACTGTCTCCAGAGTCGACCGAACAAGACCGTATTTGAATATATAACGTTATTCTTGCCTTTACGCATCTCAAAAGCTGAAGGAATTTCAGTTCACTAGGCTAATGTTCTTATCTTTTCACTCTGCAGTATCATAACAACACTATTTTTTGAAAATTATAACTTGTTTGATGAATACTAGAAGAGTAAGGACTATGCCCCGAGGATCTACTGTTCACTCATGATAACCGAAAACGTAATCCATGAGACTTGGAGTGGCGAACCATATATAAGGCCCCAACAAGACAGGCATAGTATCGAGCCGAATGACAGCGAAGCTGCCAGCCACCAAAGTTGAGTAACAGTGCTAGGGCTCGAACTTCGATTGACAAGCATGCCAGTGACAACTTGAAAGCACTTGATCTTCATCAAAACTGTCTGAAATGGCGACGGACACTTGTCGCTCGTGAAATTGATGGAGGTGGTTCGTTAAATGACGTAGTCCTCGAGGGAACTTCGAAGTTATGCCCTACAGAAATAAGATTACCATCCCGAATGTGCTCACGAAGTTCACCTATGGAATCACTGAATTGATACCAGTTATCCTCGTCACCATTATTATACAGTGCAATGCAGTGGAGCGAACCAGGCTGACAATGTAGACCAAATAAGAACCAATTTGTACGGTGATTACATCTTACACCTACTTTGAGGGACGGGAAAAGAAATTGAACCAAAGAATCAATACAGAGTACAGACTGAGCAACCACACTTATCAAACATTCAGTTCTGATTAGAGATGACAGGATTGCCGCTGCCGTCGGCTCCCTGTGTCCTTTAGACCCTAATTTCTAAGAAAGAAATCAGCTGTCCCAGCAAAACTCGCCACACATTTCTTCATAAATCGCCTACACGAGAATTATTGACCTACAGATGGTTTCGTCTACTCTGTAGCGACAACTGCAAATAGAGACGGTGTGCGCAGGGTTTGAGGGGTATACTCAGTACATGTCCTAACCAGTAAACCCTACTAAACCTAATTCGGTTTGACAGGTATGCCTCGCTGGCAGGGCTACACATTGCTCTAACCGAGTCGGTCGCAAGCAAAGCCGGGAAGGAAAACAAACGATAAATTATGACCTCAGCAACGCGGTGTAGACAGCGGTGGTCAAACACTAACAATTCACCCTAATATTGCGCCCGTAAAGGTCAAGTCTCTGATCCATTTCGCATCACTGGCCAAACTGATGCTGTACCACACTCGACCATTCACAGACGAATGTA